TGACACCAAAAGCAGTTTGCAGAGCAACTTAAACACACTTCAATCAGACATTTTGTTCCCTTCATTAGCCCACTGTTTTAGAAGTAAGTGTGTGTGTGTGTGTGTGTGTGTGTGTGTGTGTGTGTGTGTGTTCGTGCACATGCTCACGCATGGGAGGCTGGAAATCAACCTTCCTTGTTATTCCTCAGGTGCTTTCCACTTTTTTTTTTGAGATGGGATCTCTTTCATTTGGAGCTCAGCGATTCTGCTAAGCTGACTGACCAGTGAGCTCCACAGATCCATCTGTCCCGGCATCCCTGTCTGGGGTTTCAGGTGTACATCACACACCCAGCTTTTTAAGTGGGTTCTGGGGAAAGGATTTCCGCCCTTACGTGTACACAATGATCACCTAACTCATGGCAGCACTCACCAGCTCCTAGAAATAACTTTAAAGAACCATGTCAGCGCCACCTGAGGCATACTTATATGATGTGTGTGTGTAGATGAGAGAGAGAAAGAAAGAAAGAGGGGAGAAGGAGAGAGAGGGGATGGAGATAAGCTGCACATTTGCATATTCTGCTGAGGTAGCTCACAGAGAATGGCAAAAGTTGGCAAGGGACAGGTGACAGCCTTATTTGGGCAATGATCCTATCATTCATCCCAGGGAGCTGTCCATCCCTGAACGTTGAGGAGAATGCGAGGCCCTAGCTAGCTTCCCCCCTCCTTTTCCGATGTTTCCAAGCACGCTTCAGTTGTGCTCTTGGGTTGAGTGGAGAAGTAGCAGGCATCGCAAAATCCTGTGCCAGGGCGGAAATGATCAGACCTGATTGCTTACCCTGACACTTAGTCTGTTAGGGGCAGCTAAGGCATTCTTTAAGCACCTGGTGGATGGGGATGTTGGCTCTCCAATCACCAGCATGTACCCCTTAAAGGCCCCTCAACTGTTTTAATGTGTGAGGAACAGGCCTGCCAAATTGTGCTTATGGCTTTCTGACACAAGCAATTTACAAATGCAATGAAGCAGATAATAGGACACATGAAGCCGTATCTGAAGATTCGTGTTGGTGACAACGCTGGTATAGAATGCCCTGGGACGCAGCCCTGTCTCCAGTGCCTGGGTTAGAACAATGTTTGTTATTTCACAGGAGGCCTCTTTCACCCAGTGGTGAATTTAGGGTCATGTCCTTGAGTGCAAGCCAGTCCCTCGTATGCTGCCAACACTTCAAAAAGTCTGGAAAGCACGGATGTGCACAGGAAAACCCAGCAAAGGTCAGACTCACTCAGTACTAAAGACCAGCTCAAATCTCAGTCAGACCAAACATTTCCTTTTTAAACTGAAGACTTCTGAAACAAGTGTGACTATGTTTTAGTGTGCTTTAGTGGACGTGTCTGCATTCGGAAAGAAAGCAAAAGGACATTTAACACTGGCCTGTGTCATCTTCTGGAGTACAATACACTTCTCATTAACAAAAAGGTGATACAACCATTCTCAAAATGATGGAAATAATTTTTTAAATGTGCTTCTTAATTGAATAAATTATGTTACTTTTGGTAAAACAATGTTTCTTAGCCATGACTTGACATGGGTCCACTGTGGTTTAAAAGTCAGCAGGAAGCAGGAGGTGGTCCGCGTGGCCAGCTCCCTCTACCAGTGGATATTTCAGTATACCTACTCCTAGGACAGAAGCTCAGGAAACCTGGTGGAGTGCAGAAGTGACAAGTGTTAAGGAGAGTGTGGGAAAGGGGCCCCTTGAGTCTTGTAGGTGGGAATGTAAATGAGCTCAATTATCATGAAAAATAGGTTGTTCAAGACACTGAAATGAAAGTTTCCAGCAATCCTCCTTCTGGGGACACATCTGAGAACAAATAAAGAACAGTATGTGTTCCCATGTTGATTGCAGTGTTAGCACAATCTCCAAGTCATGCAAACCATCTGAGAATCCATCTACAGAAGAAGGAGCAAGGAGAGAATGTACATGCACACACTGTCTGTCCTTATAAACTATCATTAAAAGAAGGAAATCCCGCTGTTTGTGACAACAAAGGTAAACTCAGAGGTGTTATGCTACGTGGCATGCCGGGCACAGGTAAAGGGAACAGAGTCACTTGATTTCGCTAATATGTGGACTCTAACTCAGAGAAGGAGGAGAGTTTGGGGCCTGCATGCATGAATGGCCTTCTTTCCTTCCCATCTTATCAGCTGGTAAGGGCAATTAGTGCAGGAAAATATAAAAAACAAAAGGGACTTCAGAGGCTTCCAACCTGGGTAACCTCCTAAGTAAATGTAATACTGGACTAACCTGTTTAACCAGAAAACGAGATGAAAATTTGTTGAATGTTAAAATTGTATTTCCATTTGTACAATTTAGCCCAGGGGTTACATAGAATAATTTGCATAACAAGAATTCCTTTTCTTTTCTAGTTGCTACAATAACTGAACAGCAAGAGCCAGTGAAGGAGGGCAGAGGGCCAGTATCATAAATGGTCACATGATCATTCAAGGAGGCTTGCCCCCTTTTAGCCAGACTCCAATCCATCCCGGTCAGCAGAGGTTCCTCCCTTCCTCAGCTGAGCTTTGAGTGCCTTTCTCACACGTGAGTGTTACCATTGCTGGCCACAGCCACACTAAGCACAAAGAACAGCGTCTTTCCTGCTGACTGTTTTGTGAAAAACAGAAATGGCTCTTCTGTGGTATGATGGTTTGAGTGAGAAATGCTCCCCTAGGCTTCAGTATTTGAAGTCCCAAGAGGAGGGTGCTGTTTGGGGAGGTTTGGGAGGTGCATCATGGCTGGAAGAAGCATGTCACTGGGGGAGGACCTTGAGAAATGAAAACCTCATGTCACTTCCAGTTTTCTCTCTGAATAGGGCTTCTGTGAAGAGCTGTGTCCTCTCAGCTTCCTGGTACCATGCCTCACTTCTGCTGTGGACCCCCTTTCACTCGGGAACCATAAGCCAAAATAAACTCCTCTGTATGTTTCCTTGACTGTAATGTTTTATTGCAGCATCAGGAAATCACTAATCAACATGGCACTCATGAAATTCTCACAGCTAGAGGCAAATCTGTGAGGGCCCTGATCTAACAGAGACAGCCATACACCACGGTGCTTCCAACACCACCACAGCAAAAGTGACCTCTCAAGAGAAGCCCCCACTCTCGCCTGAAGGACCGTTCTTAACACTTCCAGTCACCCCTGCCAACTGTATCCTCTCAGCCTCCTTACAGGGCAGCATTAAATATAGCAGTGATTAAGTTCATATTTTTAAATCAAACCAACAAAGCCACATAGAGTTGAGAGATAAAGTATGTGACTATTTAGTGATCTTTTTGAGTATTTGATGCTTGCAGTGGCATCAGGATTAATTTGTGAGAAATGGAGATCTTGAACAAAATGGTGGAATTCTTGTTTTGCTCCACAGAGGACTATGATGGACACTCCTCTGCAGAGCCTGTGAAGGACAGAGGTGGCTTTGGAAGCTCCCTGTAAGAACACAGAATGTTTCTTACAGAGAGAGTCAGCCTGCTGTGGAGTTAGACCTTGCACGAAAAGGTTTTGCTCATAGCAGGAACCCTTTGTGTACTCCAACTTTAATAACCCAAATATGGGTTGCAATAGAAACAACACTGCAAATCACATTTAAAACAAATTCACTGCAGTTTATAACATCTAAATCACGTATGCACTGTCTAGTACTCTCCCCAGCATCACTGCTGTGGTCAGGCATTGCTGCTTATCCCTCACAGCTGGCCTGGAGAATCAGCGAGTTTCTGTCCTCCCCAATGAGTAAACTGATTAAAGAGTTGTCTCTATCTCACAGAAGAGTGTAAGAACCCAGACCTCCTGGCTCCAAAACCTCCTCCTCTAATGCAACATATTTCAATTCTATGACAGTAAGTAAAAATAACCAAGTATTTATGTAGACTAGAAAAATGTGTCCTGAAGTTAGACAGATTCATTTACCAATTGCATATAAAATATTTTATAATATTCAACCTATAGGTCATACTCAATCTGTACTAATGCTTAGAAGTTCCAAAGTTAAAATACCTAGGAACAAGAGGGATGTCTTGTGAGCCTTCTAAGAACATATTCATTCTTGTGTTAATGCCTTCTCCCTATTTTCCTGTTCTTAATTTTGAATTTTCCAATTCTGTGTATTTGCATGGTGCTATGGAGATTAACTTGAGGGAGTTACTTTTCATTACCATCCTCAGCACACTTCTCTTACCAAAGGCTACAAGTGAAGACCAAAAGGGTTTACACTGCTCTGTGATATTGAGCAAGTCTCTTTCCACGTTAACCACATGTCAAGAATTATTGGTGCTAGAAGCTAATATCTGTTTTCCTTGGCTCTTACCCTAACAATGACAAATTAAATTTTCTTAAGTCAATAACCAGAAGACAGAGTCTATACCTCTTGGTGGAACTGTCTAGTATATGGACTACAATTGTAAAACGCTTTAAGAAAAAGTATATAATGTTTTCTTTGTTTTGTTTTTGTGCTGCTTTCTTTAAAATAATCTTGTGTGTTTGTCTTCTTTGTTTTCATGTTCTATAAGAATTTTTAACCTAGCAGCAAAAAAACAGTGCCTCTTCCTTGGTAGGCAAAGAGGATGGGATTCAATTTAAACAATGAATTACCCAATGAAATACAGAATCACTGTCTCTTCTCTCTGGCTTGCTTTTGAATAAACAAGTTTGTAGATTGCCTAAACAAATCTAGCTCCTAATTCTTATATCAGACAACAGCATTGATACAATTTAATAGAATTAAAATGTAGAAATTATTAAATTATTAAAGAAGAAACAAGAAGCCTTTCCTTCCATCTTTGCTGCTGTCTTACCTAAGTAACTGAGCTTGTATTTGGCTTGTATTTGTTTTGTGTTCATCTTGTATCTGCTACCAAAAAAGTCCGCAGAAGATAATGGTCAAGGAGAAAAGTGCTCGTGTTTAAAATGAGACACTGGCTTGCTCAACTCAGTAGAAAATGGTAAATATTGTCTATAGTTGGGGTTACTTACCTGTGAGTCCTAACAGAACGTAACCAATAACAAACAGCATGAAGATCATACAGCACAGAACGTCCGTACAACTCCTGAAGACAAAAGGAATGAAGAATTAAAAAGCATCCTGAGTGACTCATCCAACTACACAAAAAAGTAGAGAAAGAAAGGTAATAACTATAAGCTCCATGGAGCCAGTAATTCTGAAAGGCCAGAGAGACATATCTGTACAATCAAAGTGGAACTGGGGGAGTGAGGGGTTCACTTGTGAAACATTCTTAGAGATTATCACACTCCAAAATAAAGCAGATTTTTTTTTTCTTTTCAAATCAGGTCTGGATGGAAAAAACCCAAAAGGCTCACTAGTAAAACTGACAGGCCAGGAGGAAAAAATCAAAAACCCCAAGGCCGAAGCCTTGCTAGTTCACCCTAACATCTGGCTCCTGACTCTTTACTGGTGAAATAGAATGGTTGGGATTTTCATTGTTGTTTATAACAACACTTGGCACCCAATGTGGGGTGCCATTTTTTGGCATCATTCAAATGCCAGAGGACCAGAGCACAGAGAGTATGGAGATGAGAGAAAGAACAAGGCTGCTCCTGCTTCCCCCTTGCTGATCCTACTTGCTGTTGTGAGACAAGAGGTGGAATCTCCTGAAATGAAGACTGGACTGGCTCCAAGGAACCCAATGACCCTGACCAGCAGGAAGCAGCTAAGAGAACTGCGCCCCCTCTCTTACTAACCCTTTCTATCTCCTACCTGGGGTGTTGGAAGGGATTGGGGTGGAGTAGAGAGAAAAAGATAAAAGAAATGTAAGTAACAGAGTGGTTGTATTGTCTTCTTCTGTGGCCTGGTAAAGCTGCTCCCCCCTCAGGGGGAGGTGATCAAAGAGCAGGCCAATCAGTTCATGTTAGAAGCAGTCCCTGTTCCCATTACTATGGAACCCACTTGGACACTGAATTGCCATGGGCTACATCTGTGCAAGGGTCCTAGGTTATCTCCATGCCTGGTACTTGGTTGGAGTATGAGTCTCTGGGAAGACCCTGTGCTCAGATTTTTTGGTTCTGTTGCTCTCCTTGTGGAGCTCCTCTCCAGATCTTACTCTTTCCCACTTCTTTCATAAGATTCCCTGCACTCTGCCCAACAGTTGACCATAAGTCTTAGCATCTGCTTTGATAGTCTGCAAAACAGAGCCTTTATTAACTTTCTCTGAGGAGCAAAGCTATGGGCATTCTAGTACTGACACAAGCTGCTAAAAATGCTTCCAAACGCTAATCTTTCCAGAATCGTGCAAAACAGATACTGTCAGATAAGACTTAAGGAGAATGTGGTTCAGAAACTCACTAATTTTCTAAATCAGGATTATAAGCCAACCAACAGAACAGCAAAAACACCCCTCTTTTTTCTGAAGAAAAAAAAAAAAAGATGTTTATTTAATGTATATAGCTATTTTGCTTGTGTGTATGTCTGTGCATTACTTGTGTACCTGGTGCTCATGGAGGCCAGAAAAGGGTGTTGGATCCCCTGGACCTGGAGTTATAAATTGTGAGCTGACATGTGGGTGCTGAGACTAAAAGCCTGGTCCTCTGAAAGAGCAACCAGTGTTCTTAACCACTGAGCCATGACATTCAACAGTCAAGGTATTAAAAATAAAGAGTTCCCTATTTCCATTGTGTTCAGTTTTTAATCACTTAAAAGTTAGAGTTGCATCCTTAAAATGAGCAACACTACTGCAGCTTTATTTGAAACTTAATTATGACTCTATTATTAAGTAAAACAAAATCTAAGTATACATGGAAAGGCCTGTAATCTCAGCACTCAGGCAGGAGAACTTTAAGCTTGGCTGTACAGGGGGTTATTGTTTTGAAAAAAAAATACATTTTATAAGATTAAAAGTTGTATGAGAATTTTCAATGGGAGTCATCTGGATAGACTCATATTTTAGCACAGGTGAGGAATGTGTCTGTGTGTTTTTTTTGTGTATTTTTGAGTTTACATGTGTGCTTGAATATGTGTGTACTTCTGTCTCTTTGTGTCTCTATGTGTATTGTGTGTCTCCGTGTGTGCTCATGTATGTACTTTCAGGTCATCACAATTATCTGCCATAATTACCTACTCTTTTTGTATTTATTTACTTCTATCGATTTCCTCATATTCTTTCCAGAAAAAAAAAGCAGTGTTTAGGAAATTACTGGGAAGATTTTGGGGAAGGAATGTAAGCTACAGCTTAGGAGTGACTGTGGGAGTCAGGGAGTGCAGCTGGCGCTTCTGTCTTCACGGGTTGTTGAGGTTTATCTTTGTCCCTGCCTTTGGAGCTCAGGATGAGCAACCACACCCCTAATGCTGTGCAGGAAATGAGGGGAGCTTTCAAATCATGCATTTCATCTGATAATTAAAAAAAATCCCAAGACAAATATTAAAAGAAGTGGTTAGTAGAATTTCTGTCTGAAAGTTATTCCAAAACGTATTGGAGCTGCAGGGCAGCCCTGGGGCACCTGTCCCTCAGGTGGGCTCATTCTTGTATCACAAAACGTGTGAAGAGTCCCTGCATGAACTAAGAACTGGGTTGCATCCCATGGGGTCCCGGAACAAATATTAATGGAGAAATGGGCCCAAATGTCTTCACTACTTCTTTCCAATCAAAGTCTTTTTTTTTTTTCCCCAAACCAAGGCTGCTCATATCCCGTTCACCAGAAAGCCTACAAAAACATTATTCAGATTGGGTATCCCTGAGATAAAAGAATTTTCAAGTTAAATTATAAAGGTACTTTGCTCTTTTATACCTAATTTTTCCAAACATCATAAGAATTGGATCCCAGTTACGCATGTACATACATGTATCTCCCCTCCCTTGTCTCTCTAAGCTGTGAATGTGGTACATGCGCACAGTCACAAAATATTGGGTGTTTCCTTTGATTTCCCATTTCTCAGCATCTTTTATATTCAATTGGCAAGTCCTCTTGCCTCCCTCTCTCTGATCTGACTTTCATCTACCTCTCACTTTCTGGTCCTGTTGCCTGGAGTGCATCTAGGTTCTCTTATCTTCTCTTCAAACTATTGCCATGGTCTCTTAATTGGGCTCCCGGAGCACTCTCTGCCTGGCCCGCATCCTTCTGCAGTCAGACACCATTGGGACACAATGACATCATTTTCTCTCACAACTGAAGCCTCACAGCCACCTTACTTTCTGTATGTCAGAATTTCATGCCAACCTGCAATTCCAGTTCTTACTCAAGCACCAAAGGTTCCCAAGGCCATCTTCCCCATTCCTTCTTGGTGTGCTTCCACTGACCTAAGCCTGTTTCAACTCTCACGCACAGTCCAGTGTCTCCCTACCACATCCAGAGTTTTCTGCTTATGGAACCACTAGGCTTCCCTCTGCTCATCACACACCCCATCTGGCACACCATACTTGGCCTCACCCACAGGGCCTACCACAAATGGTCCCTTTATCCTCCAAAGTGTCCACGTCGGAGTCTCAACCCCATTAAGTAAATCCTCATTCTTTAAAGAGCTCAAAATATGGCCTTTCATGAAGCATTCAAATAGAGGCGGCTCCTCTCAGACCCGTAGGCTTCAGGAATCCCCTTTGTGCAGTTCCTCGCACCTGCACCCTTCGTACCACAACAGACGGGGGTAGGGGGGCTGGGGCTGCTGTCCACCAGCTATGCTAGTGTCCACTGAGCTACAAGTGATTTTAACCTTGTTCATGTGTTCTGATGAAAGGCCTCACTATGCCCCAGTTGGTCTGGAATTTGCTGTGTAGACCAGGCTAGCCTCAGATTCTTGAACAGCTGCCTCCTTCTACTGGGTTTTCCATTTTTAAGTAGTTTTCAAAAACCCAGCTAGAGCATGGCATGGAGGCACACACCTGTAAACCACAGCCCTGGAGGAGCAGAGGCAGGACAGCTGTGAGTCTGAAGCTGGCCTGGGCCATGTAGAAATGCAGAAAAATCTTGTCCAACAAACAAACAAAACTACTCATAAAAACAAAACCCCCAAATCACAGTGATCGCATTGTGTGACATGAAAATATCCAAAATTCAAATATCAGTGTCCTTAAGTACAAATTTCTCAAAAACAAGCATTTGCTCACATGTGCCTGGTCTGTGTCCAATTTTGCTTCATAATGGCTGAATTTGGTGATTGAATGAGAAATCACCCAGGCTTCAAGGTCAAGAACTTTGTTTCCTGAACCGTTATAGACAAAGGTTGCTGAATTCTGACCCAGAACGTGGAGACCTCTGAGGCAGTGGTTAGGCCATGGCCTGGTAATCCACACACACACACACACACACACTGGGGACTGTTACAGACACGCCTGACGGGCGGGCCAGTCCTGAGCAGCCTCTGCTGGGCGCCCAGCCTCGCGCCTCCCCGCTCAGCTTCTGTTCTCTTCTCTTCTGCCCCAGCACGTGAGTGAGCTGTCCAGAGATTAAGTGTTTCGGTCAAGCTGACGCATGGCCCCAGGAAAGCGGAGGTCACGGGAGCACCTCAAGTCCACAGCGGTGGACTACTGAACTACTGCCTCCCGGTCAGTGCTCTAGCGGGCATGCACACTGGGAGGCCACAGCTCTCCACTCCTGGACACATGGTAGCCCTGGTCAAACTCAGCGGCCATATCACAAACCAGACAGCAGTGTAGGAGAGACTTGTGGACATGGGGGGCAGAGAAGGAGAAGTGGGGGTGAGTCTGTCAGTGTGTATTACACACTTGTGCGAAAAGACCTAGAAACAAATTTTTTAAATTCCATGGAAAAGTTCCAGGATATTTGGAAGAATTTCACTTACTAAAATCAGGAACTTAATTAAGAAGGCCTTTCATCACATACTTTGTATTTCCAGGTATTTGAGGGTCACAGCGGCTTTTCAAGCCTCTTCATATTTTGAATCAAAGGTTCCATTTGCCTTCAAAGTGCCGGGACCCCCACTGAGAAAAAAGTGCTTCCTCTGCAGGGTTAATACTTGAAAACTATGGTGGAAACTTAAAATATAACTGACTCAAAATCCCACAGAACTGTCGGTACCATTGTCAATGTCATTTGAGTTGTTAGGTCAAGTAAGATCCCTGAGTGTTAAATCTGCTTTAGT